CTTCATGGTCAGCGGAACCGAGTGCGAGGAGGTGTGGCCTGGGCCCGTCAACCAATGACATCTTCTGACCCCAGTGACCTCCCTGACCCCAGGCACCCCCCCCCCGGACCTGAAATCCCTATGACCTTTCTGCCCTTGGGACATGCCCTGACCTAATGATGTCCTATGAGTCCCCTGCCCCCTGAGGATCCCTCTGACCTCTCTTCACCCGCTGACCCCTGATGACCTCCCTGACCCTATGACCTTCCCCTCAGTGCTTTCTGACCTGTCACAAGCGCTGCCTGGAGACTCTGCTGATCATCTGTGGACACAGGCGGCTCCCAGCCCGGACGCCCCTCTTTGGGGTCGACTTCCTGCAGCTGCCCAGGGACTTCCCGGAGGAGGTGCCCTTTGTGATCACCAAGTGCACGGCCGAGATAGAACATCGTGCTCTGGGTGTGCAGGTGCTGCCTTGACTCTTGACCACCCCCAGTAGTGACCTGGCCCTCTTGATGGCCAGGTTGGTGAGCCAGATGTCTATTTCCTGCCCCTGCCCCTGCCCCTGCCCCGCAGGGCATTTATCGGGTCAGCGGGTCCCGGGTCCGTGTGGAGCGGCTGTGCCAGGCTCTTGAGAATGGTCGAGCATTGGTGGACATGTCAGGAAACTCGCCTCATGATGTCTCGAGTGTTCTCAAGAGATTCCTCCAGGAGGTGGGTATTCAGTGCCTCGGGGATAGGGGTCGGGCGGGCTCAGGCTGAGGACCCTCTGCAGCCCACCCACACCCATGTCCCTCCCGCCATTCCACCCCCAGCTCACTGACCCCGTGGTCCCCTTCCACCTCTACGACGCCTTCATCTCTCTGGCTAAGACCCTGCATGCAGACCCTGGGCACGACCCTGGGACCCCCAGCCCCAGCCCTGAGGTTATCCGCTCGCTGAAGACCCTCTTGGTGCAGCTGCCTGACTCTAACTACAGCACCCTGCGGCACCTGGTGGCCCATCTGTTCAGGTGTGCACTGTCCCTGACCTTGAAATGTGACTTCTGACCTGAGGCACGGATCTGTGGCCCTGTCTGTGGACATACGACTACTGACCTCGGACTGACCCCTGACACTGACTTCTGATCTTTGCATGTGTTTTCTGAGCTCTGAATTTTAATACATGATTCTAGACTTTGGGTGCTGACCCCTGATCTCCATTGCCAGGCATGTCTCTGCCAGTCCCCAACAACGCCTGGGACCACTTACCCGTGACTTGGGCAGGTTCCCATGAGCCTGGCCTATAGCTCCTACCTGATGGCCAGTGACCATGCATTCCATGCTCTGATCTTTTTCCTCATACCATCCCCAGGGTGGCTGCACAGTTTGAGGAAAACAAGATGTCTGCCAACAACCTGGGCATTGTGTTTGGGCCAACGCTGCTGCGGCCACCGGACGGTCCAGGGACAGCTGGTGCCGGCCCTGTCACCTGCCTACTAGACTCTGGGCACCAGGCCCAGCTCGTCGAGTTCCTCATTGTATACTACGAGCAAATCTTTGGGATGGACGACCTCCCCGTGGCCACTGAGCCCCTGCCCCAAGACCCCAGTCCAGCCCCCGGGCCCCTCATAAACAACAACCCCCAGCCACCACCCTCCTACCTTGCTCCAGATCCCCTGCCCCCAGTCCCAGCCTCGGACTCCGACCCAGACCCTGAGCCCCACGGTACCTTGGAGAAGCATCCTGAGGCCACGCCTCCTGAGGTAGGAACCCACTGGGCCCACAGACATGGGGAGGGCCTTCTCTCCATTTAATCCTCTCACTCTCTTGTCTTCCTTCCTTCCTTTGCCTTTAAATTTTTCTCTTTCATTCCCTCTCTCCCTAAAAGTGAGGAATGGAGTGGTGGGTAATAATAATGGAGGTAATAATGGAGGAATGACAGGGTACAGCTCTGCAGAGTTACTAACACAGGTGATCATTTAGTCCTTCAACAGAATATTTATTGAACATTTACTATATACCAAGCATTGTTGTAGTAGGCGTTACAAATACATCAGTGAGTAAATTATTCAGAGACCCCATCCTTTTGGTGACTGCATTTTAGTGGGAAAGAAACCAATGGCAAATAAGAAATATGGTATAACGTCAGTTTATAGGACATTACAAGGTGACAAGTACTATGGAGAAGAAAGGGTGAGAGACATTGGGGGCACAAGGGGAGGTGAAGGGCAGTCTGTAGCAGTAAATGGGATGCTGCGGGCAGGTCTCATGGAGAAGGTGGATTTGAGCTATGACTGGAAAGATGTGGGTGAGGAATGAGCCAGATGGAGATCTGGGGAAGGATGTTCCAAAGGGAATAGCCAGTGCAAAGGCCCTGAGGTGAGAGTATGCCTGGTGTGTTTAGGGTGCAGCCCTGAGCTGTAATGAATTAGTGAGGAGAAGGTGGTAGAAAGTGAGGCCAAAGAGGGGTCTGTGGAATGCCAAGCACCGTGCATCTACTATACATTGGCACTTTATAGGCTTCCTGTCATCTTCAACAGAGCCCTGAGAGGTAGATACTGTTAGTGAAAACCATTTAGATGGGACTCCTACTGGTGGCTTCCCTGTCCCTCAGATCCTGCTACACACACCATTCCGGAGAGCATGCACCTCCCCTCCATAGCGGCCCAGAGATGGTAAAGGGGCTGTCAGTGAGCGCTGGGTCTCTGAGCAATGGTATATGGCTCAGAAAGTGCTCAGGACATGTAGAAAGAACTCCAGCTGCTATTAGCATTTAGCTAAAGGATCAACTGAAGGATGTACAGATAAATTGAAACGCAGGTGCAAGTTTGCAGAGCAGAGCAGGATGGAGACAGGTAGTTCACCTGGTCTTAATGCGGACATGGCTAAGTCACTCCCTGGGCTGGCTCTCTGCTGAGCAAGGGCGTTCCTTCCTTCATGGAGCCCACAGTTTGCGACCAATAATATTGCTCTGTACAAGGGGACAAGCAGTATACTGTTAAAGGGCATCGTCTCCCCAGATACCAAAACTGCAACAGACCTTTTACGTGTCCAGGAACAAACCCTCAGCTCCCCAAGAGTCTCAAAGAACTGGGATTTTATTGTTGGGTTTTGGTCTTGGGTTTGTTCCTACAGATTCCAGCTCCACAGAGAGACCAGAGAGAAGTGGCTGAGGACACCAAAGAGGAGGGAGGGGAAGGTAAGTATGTTGGGGAGCAGCCCAGGAGTTGTAGGGGTGTCCTTGCCTGGGGTGGCTTGGCTGAGAGATGACTCCCCCGAGATAATCCAGAGGACTTAGCGGTGCTCAGCATTGACCATGCCAACCCACAGTGTCCAGCCAAGGTCCAGAGGACTCACTCCTGGGGACACAATCCCGTGGCCACTTCAGCCGTCAGCCAGTGAAATATCCCCGGGGCGGCGTGCGGCCTGTCACCCACCAGCTGTCCAGCTTGGCCCTGGTAGCTTCCAAATTGAGCGAGGAGACCCCTGTCACATCAGTGACCCGAGGGAGTTTGCGGAGGCGGGGACCTGGCCCTGCTGCTGCCTCCTCCTCGCCTGAGGGCAGCCCTCTGCGCCGCACCCCGCTGCCCAAACATTTTGAGATCACCCAGGAGACAGCCCGGCTACTCTCCAAGCTACACCATGAAGCTGTGCCCAAGGCCACCTGCTGCCCAGACCCCCAACCCGAGGAAGCCGAGGACCATCTCTGACCATCCCAGCATTCTGACTGAGGGGAAAGGACTGAGAAGGTGTTCAGTGTTGGGGGTTCTGGAGAGTTCCTGTAAGGAAAGACTACATGGCCTGGGGGACTAAAACCCTTTTGGGGACAATATACCAGGATTTCCCCCCCCACACTAGACATAGGTCACTGCCCATCAGGGCAACTCAGGTTCAGAGGTGAGTCAGGGTCAGTACTCAGGGTCAATACAAGTCATGGGATCCTTGGTGTCCACCCTAGTCCCTGACCCCTGGAACAGGGGTGCCTTTTGCTACTTTGGTTGGTGCCCACTCCCCCACCTCTGCTTCCTTTGCTGACCTCAGGTAACCAGCTCTTGGAGGGTGTGGGCAGCCTAGACTCAACATTCTGGTGGTACCTGGGGTCTGATGGCCTGGGAATAAACCATGTCCTTTATACCCTTGAGTGTCTTTCTTTGCCAGGCGAGGGTGATGGAAGAGCTAGGTGAGGGCAGCATCCTTTGGCCCCGTTTTACCCACCAGAGGAACCAAGGTCCCCTTTCATCCCGACACATCCTTGAGCACCTACAAGCAGTACTGGCTGGGCCTGGGCACCAGGCTGAGTCACACCGGCCCGGCCCTCCCGGAGCTCCACGTCCCCGATCCGGTCCTGCATAATCAAACAAATATAACAAAGTGCAGATAACCGGGACAATGGGGCTGTGTGCTCTGGGCCGTGGGAGCCCAGGGCCGCCACAAGCCGGGGCCGGACAGGGGGCAGCGCTGCCGGGGGCGGAGGGCGCGGGGGCGGGATTTCGAGAAACTTAAGTGCGGCCCCAGGGTCAGCTGGGGCCGGAGAGGTCCGAGGGGCACCGGAGGCCGCTGCGCGCGGTATCTCGGTGCTGGAGAAGCGGAGGCGGGGCGGGGGTCCCGGCGGTGGGAGACCAGTCGGATCAGGGCGTGGCTTGGAACTCGGCGACGGATTGGACGCCAGGAAGCGAGCGGGGTGGGACCGGGTGGGGGCGCGGACCCTGAGACCACCCGGAGCTGTGCCCAGGCTGCGCGAGGTCACGGCGGGAATTCTGGTGCAGTGAGTGACTCAGCCCCCGGAAGGCTCTAAACTGCGTGCGTGTGAGGTGGGCGAGGACGGGGGCGGGGGTCCCGCGCCGGAAGTGGAGGGGCGACCCAGAGGCCGTGAGGCCGGGAGGAAATGGGGGGGCTGCGGTTCCGGGAGACCCTGTCTTTACCGCGGCTGCAGAGGCGGGGTTCCCCCAGGTGGCGGAGACGGGGCGGGGCTCCCCCAGGTGGCGGGGGGCGGGGCGCCGCGCCCAGGCAGGGACAGGGGCGGGACCCCGCCTCCCGTGCTCTCTCGGCTGCCCGCGCTCAGCGCACCGGACGCTCCTCCGCTCCTGCGGTGGTCACCAGGCTATGGGTCTGGGGCCTACCCCGACCCTCCGGGAGGCCGCCCCGTCTGCGGCGTGACGGGCGGCCCAGGTGAGGCGGGTACTGACGGTGGTGGGTGGGCGCGGGTCCCAGGGAGGGCGCGGCACGTGCCTGTGAGGCCCGGGCACCGCCCCCTCCTCCCCTCTGTCCCAGCTCCTCCTCCAGCCCAGGGGCGCCCGCCCGCCCGCCACCGCCTTCCTGACCGCCCCCTTTGTCTGGGAGGCCGCCAGGGTCCTCCGTCCCACTCGTAATGGCCCGATGCCCCGCCCGCTGTGGGAGCACTCGCGCCCAAAACCCGCCGCCCAACTTCTGGGGCTGCATAGCAGTCCACTCTGGTCGACCTGGTCACTGATGTAGGAAAGAAAGAATTCTTGAGACGTCTTTGGTGCAAGAAGGTGGTTTTATTAAAGCACGGGGACAGAACCCGTGGGCAGAAAGAAGTCCACTGGGGTCTTGAGGAGTGGCCCATTGTATACTTTCAAGTTGGGAGGGGGTTAGGGATCCCTGAGTCTCTAAAGAATTCTGGAAGCAAGGTTTCCAGGACCTTGAGGGGGCTAGCTCTTGTTGGGGAAAGGTCATTTATTACCGTCTAATAAAACTTTAGTCATGAGACCCTTCCGATGTATGTTGGTGGGCCATATGCTTGGGGGATGATTGCCAACATGCATCTTGGGCTTAGAGATAAAGGAAATTTCCAAAGGAATGTTTATATGTTAAAGTAGACCTACAGGATCCTGGGTTGCGGGGGGGGGGGGGGGGGCTAGGATTGTCTTTTGCCCTTAGCAAAGTATTAACATCGAGGCAGTTGGGTCCCTAGAGGAATGTCACTCTGCCTGTTTCAAGGACTTGTCAATGGGCTCTAGGTAGTAAGGAAATTTATTTATTTTTTTTTTAAAGATTTTATTTATTTATTTATTTATTGAGAGAGAGAGAGAGAGAGAGAGAATGGTAGAGAGAGAGCATGAGAGGGAAGAAGGTCAGAGGGAGAGGCAGACTCCCTGCTGAGCAGGGAGCCCGATGCGGGACTCGATCCCGGGACTCCAGGATCATGACCTGAGCCGAAGGCAGTCGCTTAACCGACTGAGCCACCCAGGCACCCTAGGTAGTAAGGAAATTTAATAATTTTTTCTTCTGCCTTTGTTTCCCACATTATTCCCCCCTGAACAGTTTTGACCCTTAAATCTTTAAGGTTGCTGAGGGTGGAAGGTCTCATCTTCTGCCACTTCTTCCTGCTGAATAGGGGCATAGAGATGCCCCTACCTATGGGTCAACATTGGTCAGTTGTGGCTTATATAGATATAGGAGTTACAAAAGGCATAGGCAGCTGAATCCAAGGGAGACTGCATGTGTGGATCTTCCTGAGTGGAAGGGATCATCTCTTGGCTTGAAGTTATAGCAGCGAAGGCGTCTTGGCACCAAGTGGAGAGACATGGGAGAAAACAGCAAAACATGATAAGTCCAACAAAAACAAAAGCCCAAATAAGAGTCCTTCGATAGTTGACAAAAATCCTCTTCCAGTCCAGAAGTTTAACCAATCATTAAAGGAAAGAGAGGGATCATCTAAAGGGCCAATGTGAGTATTCATATCAGAAACCCAGAAATATTTTGTGGTAATCTGGAACGTATATACAGCATTCTGTTTTTATGATAGCCGAAGTTTCACCTTGTGTAGCAGTTAAAACATCTAATGCCATGCTATTATGTAAAACTGCCTTACACGTTTGTGTTACTTCAGTATTTAGTAGAGAAATGCTATTTTGAGTGTCATTTAGGGCTTTGACCATGTACTTATTAAGAGCTTCCATGTGCCAAACAACACCCTCTGGTCCCAAAGAGGGAACAAAAATGAATGTTAGATGGTCATACCAATGAAACACAGAACGCGTCCACTGTTGGGTTAAATTTAGAAGGTTGGCTGGGTTGGTAATGGTTTTAAGAATGCATCCGTGCATCCAGGCAAAACCTAGTACAGTGGCCTATCCAGCCTGGGGGAAGCCACGGACACAAGTTAGAGCCGCATAGCCATTGGGTCCCGTTAGGAGACGGTCATCTAATTCTGGGCCTCCTTTAACTGCAGTCAAGATATCAAGGGTATTCAGTTTTGGAGGGCCATCTTTTGAGTTTGTGTAATAAAAGACAGCCTGTTGTCACTTTATAGGGACGAAGGGAGTCCAAATCTACAGACAGTTTCTCTTAGCAAAGTTTTTTGCCCCCTCCGTGGCCTTTTTACCCAAATCAGGAGCCTGGTGTAAGCCCTGTGTTACCTTCCCTTGCTTATTTTTGGGTATAAAGATTTTTCCCTCATTGTTAACAAGCCAGTCCTGTACATTTCTTGGTCTGAATAGGCTGGACTTAAGGACTTTTTTGGAGTTAAGACTGGTAAAAGCCTTATATTTGTTTATTTTGTTTGCCTGCTTTGGCTGCACAGTCTACCAAATTGTTTCCTTTAGATTCTAAGGTCATATTCTTTGATATCCTTTGAGGTGAATTACAGTTACCTCCTGAGGTAGGTGTACAGCCTCAAGAAGAGTCCTAATTTTGGGCGCCTGGGTGGCTCAGTTGGTTAAGCGACCGCCTTCGGCTCAGGTCATGATCCTGGAGTCCCGGGATCGAGTCCCGCATCGGGCTCCCTGCTCAGCAGGGAGTCTACTTCTCCCTCTGACCCTCTTCCCTCTCGTGCTCTCTATCTCTCATTCTCTCTCTCTCAAATAAATAAATAAAATCTTTAAAAAAAAAAAAAGAAGAGTCCTAATTTCAGGCCCATATTTGATTGGGGAGTTATAGCTTGATAATAATCCCCTTTCCTTCCAAATCGCTCTGTGGGCATGTAGGACTAGGAAAGCATATTTGGAGTCAGTACAAGTATTACTTTTTAAGGCTTTGGCAATTGCAAGCATGAGTGAGCACTATAGCATACCCAGCTTTTCTTAATTCCTTTTTCCATGAAACTATTGCCATCAGCAAACTGTCATCTGCATTTTTGATAGGGGAATCTTTTAATTCTGGTTGACTAGAATAAACAAGATCAGTAACCTCTAAACAGTTATGCTCTATAGAGAGGCACGATGATCAGGTCCAGGCATATGGGTAGCTGGGTTTAAAGTTTGACAGGTTTTAAGCATTATTTCAGGCATATCTGTAAGTGTAGCCTGGTATTTAATAAGTCGGCCTCCATCATCCATTGGTGACTTTTGGTCTCTAAGATATTCTGGACCTGATGTGAAGTCCTTCTAGTCAGGGACTGTCCCATAGTGAGCTTTGAGGCGCCTTTTACCAGGAGGGCTACTGTATGCTTGGCTAAAGCCTTTGTTTGCAATTGTATCTAAACAGAGGTGACTTCTAGGATAAATATGACTATGAGGGATGAAGCCATCAAGAAGCCCTCTTTGTCTGAGGTCCAGTGTTAACAGTACCCTAATTATAAAGAATCACTGGCAAGTGGGAGAAGACTTGTCAAGAGATAAGGGCATCCCCAAGTGCATCATCCAATCCAATCATAAAGAAAGTGGAGTCACCCATTATCTCCACAAGCCTACGTAGTGGGATATGCTCTGGCTTTTAGGGAACGATTTCATCATCCCAGCCACATAGAATTGGTCAAGGTGCTAGTTGAGTTATATAATCATTGGGGAATCAATCCCATTTTCCAGTTGTTTAAATAATAATATGCCCGGGATGCCTGGGTGGCTCAGTTGGTTAAGCGACTGCCTGCGGCTCAGGTCATGATCCTCGAGTCCCAGGATCGAGTCCTGCATCGGGCTCCCTGCTCAGCGGGGAGTCTGCTCCTCCCTCTGACCCTCCCCCCCCCTCATGTACTCTCTCTCTCTCTCTCTCTCATTCTCATTCTCTCAAATAAATAAATAAATAAATCTTTAAAAAAAATAATATGCCCATGGGGTCCTGTTATTATCCCCACAGAATAACAAGCATGAAGATTGTCTATACGAGCTATTGTGGCAATTTTTCTCAAGTTTACCTCACATTGTCTGGCATAGGTAAACAACAAACATTGAAAGACAATCAGATCTAGAATTTAACATCTACAAAGGTGTGTTATTGGAACATGATTTTTCTCTCTAAAATAACCCTTATTTCCAAAGATAGCCAAATCAAGACTAATTTGTAAGTCCAATTTTAACAAACTTGACCTAATTATTTATATAAGCTCAGCAAGAATAGTGGTTGATCATATAGATCTTTTAGAATCTGTTTTGCTGGAACTTTTTATAAGGAATCTCTAGGTTGAACTTTTAGTAGCCTCTCCAGGCCAGAAGCCAAGCCAAGTGCTTGCCATCAGACATGCCAGCAATACCTGTAGATGTGGGCGGATTCCTCTTCATGAGGTTCTCAAACTAACTGGAGATTCTTGCACCTGCCAGGAAGTGACATTCTTTACTTACCTGGTAAGGCTGCTGGGAACTCTGTAAGCAAGGTATCAGGCCAACATTTCCAAGGGGCTTTATGGTTCCAGGTTTCAAAATTGGACTTACAAATTAGTCTTGATTTGGCTATCTTTGGAAATAAGGGTTATTTTATTTTATTTTATTTTTAAAATATTTATTTATTTGAGAGAGAGTGAGAGAGAGCACATGAGAGGGGGGAGGGTCAGAGGGAGAAGCAGACTCCCTGCCGAGCAGGGAGCCCGATGCGGGACTCGATCCTGGGACTCCAGGATCATGACCTGAGCTGAAGGCAGTCGCTTAACCAACTGAGCCACCCAGGCGCCCAATAAGGGTTATTTTAGAGAGAAAAATCATGTTCCAATAACACACCTTTGTGGATGTTAAATTCTAGATCTGATTGTCTTTAAATGTTTGTTGTTTACCTATGCTAGACAATGTGAGGTAAACTTGAGAAAAATTGCCACAATAGCTCATATAGACAATCTTCATGCTTGTTATTCTGTGGGGATAATAACAGGACCCCATGGGCCCGTTCTTTTTTTTTTTTAAGATTTTATTTATTTGAGAGAGAGAGAGCACACACAGGAGAAGGGGGGAGGGACAGAGGGAAAGGGAGAAGCAGACTCCCCGCTGAGCAGGGAGCCTGAC